AGTTTCAAACTGCTGACCTTAAGGTTCGCAGCCCAATTCGTAACCACTTTTATTGAGACATAATTTACATACCATAAACTGCACCTATTTTAAGTATACAATTCAGTAAGTTTTAGCAGATTTACAAAGTTGCAATGCTATCATGACAATACAATTTTTAAATGTTTTCATCATCTCTAAAAGAACCATCATGTCCATTTACAGTCAACCCCTATTGCTACCCCCAGTCCCAGATTTGGTTTTTTGGATACTTTATATAGAATGCAATCATAATTTGTTTCTGGCTTCCTTCACTTAGCATGATGTTACTAAGGTGCATCCATGTTGTAGCATATAACAGTAATCCACTCCTTTTCATGACCGAGTAGTATTCCATTGAATGATATACAGCATTTTGTTCATTTATTTGCCAGCTGATGAGCATTTGGATTGTTTCCACTTTGGGGCTATAGTAAATAATGCTTCCATCAGCATTCATGTATAAATTTATGTGTAGACATAAAAGTAATTCACTCTTGAGAGTAATGTATTGTAATCTGATTAAGATTTCTTTAGTAATTATGTCTCCTGAGTCTAAACCAATTGCTGAAATTTCAAGTCCAAATACAAAGGTAATGATGTACAGTGAAAAATGAGGAATAGCATCTTAAAAGGAATCATAAAAGAACAGTCTATAAAATTAATATATTAGTATATTTTCATTTTTAGGTGCCCCAGTATTGCCTCAAGAATTACAGCCTGAACAAGAGCTACAGCTGTGGAAGGAGGTAAAGAATTATTATATAAATTGTGAAAACCTTATCTTTTGTTGAAATTAACATGTAAAATAAAATAATATAATTGAGCTTTAGCTCAACTGCCATTTTGCCAACATTCAGCTATCGTATTAAAAGAGAAAGTCCTGGTGTGGTGTTGCAGGTTCATGTGCTCGACTGCAAGGTCAGTTTGAACCTCAAGGTCAGTGGTTCAAGCTCACCAGCTGCTCCCCAGAAACCCTATGCAGAGTCGCTATGGATCAGAACTGACTCAACAGCACTTAACAACAACAACAAAAGAGAAGGAAAGAGGAAAATAAATTTAAAAGGAGAATAAATAGTAAAATAAGATGGCAGAAATAAGTTTTTTAAATAAAGTAACTAAAATAAATGTGAGCATGTTAAAATGCACCCCTTAAGAGATAAAGACACTCAGATTGAATTTTTTTTAAAAGATCCAACAACATATTACCTGTAAGAGGAATGTTTAAAACAGGAAACAAAAAAAGACTAATCATAAAAAGGTAAGAAATTGTGCACCAAGCAAAATATGAAGCAGAAAAAATTAGAGTAGCTGTGTCAATACCTGATAAAATAGAATTCAAATAATAAAACTATCCTAACAAACCAAGAGGGATGTTATATGCCAATAAAAAGAACAAGAGAAAGAGATACAACACTCATGAACATATTTTAACAATTCCGCCTCAAAATTTATATTACAATAGATATAACTTCAGGGTGAAAATGGATAAATCAACAGTTTTAGTTGGAGATTTTAGTACATCTCACTCAAAAACTGACAATTGAAGCTGATCAGATATAAGCAGGTTTATCAAAGACCTAACATGATAATTAATAAATTTGAGCTACTACATATATTTTAAACCTACACTAAATAGAATGTACTTGAAACATTACAAAAAAAGTCCATGTGTTAGAACAGAAAGGAAACTTCCATAAATTAGAAGATTTATTTCAAATGTTCTCTACCACCAATGCAATAAATAAAATTAGGAGGAGTCAATAGCAAAAGTATAACTGGTAGAACCATCTAGAATTTCTATAGCCCCATCATCCAACATTCCCTCTCCTGGGTATATAGCCCAAAGATACAGTTGACCCTTGTATTCACTGGTCCTTATTTGTGGATTCAACCAACAATGGATCAAAAATATTGGAATGGGAAGGCTGCAATTAAGTAGTCAAAGCAACCCTTCAAAGGCTAAGTTGTTGTTGTTGTTGTTAAGTACCATGGAGTCGGTTCCGACTTATAGTGGCCCTACACAGGGTTTCTGAGGCTGCAAATATTTACAGGAGCAGAAAGCCTCATCTTTCTCCCGTGGAACAGTTGGTAATTTCGAACTGCCAACCTTATTAAGGTTAGCAGCCCGATTGGTATCAACAACGCTACAAGTACTAACTTCTATTTACATAGCATTTACATTGTATTCACTACTATAACTAGTTTGTTGTTGTTGTTATGTGCCCTGTGGTTGGTTGGGACTCTTACGGTTTCTAAAAGCAGCTGGTGGGTTTGAACTACAGACCTTGTGTTTAGCGCTCATACTATAGCACTACACCAGGGCCCATTAAATAAAGATGATTTAAAGCATACAGGAGGATGCGGGTAGATAATATGCAAATATTACAAACACTGTGTGCCATTTTATATAAAAGAACTCAGCATCCACAAATTTTGGTGTCCTCAGGGGTTAGGATGAGCTGTTGATGGGGAGTGGGAAGAATGGGATGGAACCAATCTCGAAGATACCAAGAGAGATGACTGTATACTCCTATAGATTGAAACTGGAGGACAGATACAAGGAATATGATCAAAGCTTTGTTTGTTAGGGAAGGAATTGGAGAGAACCCAGCTGCCCATCACTGGGAAGTGAACAGGTAACATTATAAAGTACTCTGCAGCACTTACACACAACATACTAAATGTACACCTAGCAGCCTGGATAGATCTCATAGCATTGTGTTAAGTTATAAAAGGTAAGAAAATACTATTAATGCAGACATAGCAGCAATACTGATTTTACAAGAACATTTACAAAAGGATGGATACTCATCAAACACATTAGGAGAGTTGCCTATGGGAGGATGGAATAGGAAATTGAAAGGTAGGCTGAACATACAAATAAATAAAACAAGATTAATAAAGAACCTCAATGAGCTGGATTGACACAGTGGCAGCAGCAGCAATGGGCTCAAGCATAGCAATGATTGTGAGATTGGCGTCGAACCAGCCAGTGTTTCATTTTTGTGCATACCACAGAGTTGCTATGAGTTGGCACCTTAACAACATCAGCAACAATGATGATAGTGAACTAAGGTAACTAAGCTATCCCCTAAAAATGACATGAGGGAAAAGAGAAGATAGATGATGAGGACCCAGATACTAAATGTTGTTGTTGTTAAGTGTCATCAAGTCGATTCTGACTTATGGTGACCCTACAGAGGGTTTCTAAGGAGCAGCCGACCTTTTGGTCCAATGTTTATCCTATAGTACCACACCAGCTCTCCTAAGGTTATTATAAGGGTCTCTGCTATGGTTGTCATTGTTGTTATATACAACACAAAAAAACACTACCATCATCACAATTGTTGTTATGTAGGATATCAATGCATACTAGAAAAGCAAGATAAAGAGTAATTTAGGAGACTAGTTGGAGATTGGTGTATAGCACAGAAACCATTATAATTTCCAGCTTGAAATTATCTATATTTATGCTAGAAATCTTTTGGAAAATATTTTAGATGGTAATTCTAGAAGCAAACTCAAATAGAATTATAAAAGCACTATAAATTCTTTTGTAGAAAAGAAAGATATTTAAAGGTATTAAAGTGCTAAGAATATGTTCATTTTTCTGCTGGAGGTTTTACAAATTCTAGTTGCTCAGACATTAGACACACATACTTTTTAAGCCATATATAGAGACTTAACCTCTTTCAGACAGGTTCGTAATTGGACTCCACAGAGTTCTCAAAAGCATTTAGTGGAACTCAACCATTAGGGCAAAAAGCTATGTAAAATTAACAGATGTTTACTTCAGTGGAAACAGGATGATCAGTGTTGCTGTCCCTTCCAAACACAAAAGAACCAAGGCTGAAGAGCTTTGCAGTTATCTCCAATTTGATTTGCTTCTTTAAAACCTGATGTTTTTATTTAAACATTAGACATGTTGATGCTTTCATTAGTTAGATCCGGCGCTCAAGGGTTCTGTGTTCCTGTCTTGCTCCTTGAACTTGTAACATTTTTAGATACCAAACATCGCAAACCTTTCAGGAAGAGCTACTTCCTCCTATCCTACTATAGCAAAGAAGATTATATCTGGAGGTGATTAAGTTAGCCTTAGTCAAAATTCAAAGCTTAAGGGGACATATTTGGACTTTCCCCTCTCAAATGATTTCTGTTTTCTTCAAGTTTCTTCCACAAATTCAATTCAATTTAATTAAAACATATTTATTGAAGACTTATTCTATTTCAGTTAGATAGGATATAAGTCCTTGCTCTCAGTAAGCTTATCATCCCGTGTGTCTGTGTACATGTGTGCATTTGTGTCAATAATTCTGGGTTTGTATGGCCTGGAACAGGGAGCAATAGAGTGGGTGGAATAAAACTATTTGCCAAGTATTTGTGATAGAGAAGATGACAAATTTTGTGAGGACAAAAGGAAGGAGACACAAGTTTATGCTTTCCCATAATTTTCTATACCTTTGTGATTCTGTTGCTCTAAAAACTAGAGGACCATAACTTTAGGCTATGTTCCACTTGGAATAAGAAGAAATAAGCAATAAGAAGCTTGGCAAATTATGATGAAAGAATATAATAATTCCCCTCTCAATTTGGTGTGAAAATGGAAATTAAATTAAACTGCTAAGCAAAAGACTTTGGGAACTAGAAGGAAACCTTGAGACATAACATAAACAAAGCACAATTTAAATCGCCCCAGACAAGAATCAGTCCCATTTTTCCCGGTCCCATTTTAAAAGACCTTCAAAGAAATAAATGCAAAAAAGCAACTCCAGACATTCAACTTAGTGCTTAACTTTTCAGCAGATTTTTTTTTTTTTATGATTAACATAAATCTCTTACATTACTAGCCTCTTGCTAGTTTTCATTTTAGGACAGAATATGAGAACAGCTAGTTGCCAACCTATAGCTCAGTCGTTATTAAGTGTCGTTGAGTCAGTTCCAACTCATAGAGACCCTATATAGGGTTTCCGAGGAGCAGCTGGTGAGCTTGGACCACAAATCCTGTGGTTCAAACCAACCTTACGATTCAATCCAGCCCATTAATCCTTAGTCCCACACCAGGACTCCATAGCTCAATAAGCCTTCATTATAAAGTAGAACTTTTCTGTAATGCTGGTTCCATGCTACATAACTCATGGATTGACCATGTTGTTTAAGAGTTTGTACTATAAGCAACTATGTTAACCTACATGGTGTGGTTAGATTCATGTATTGAGGCCATTCTTTAATCACCTCTCACATTGCACACAAGACCTGCAGGTCTTTCCCTCAATGTATGACCTTCTTTATACTCTCTGATGATCCTATCATTATTATTAGAGACTCATGCCCATGTGGCTAGGGCCGAATTTAGGGAAAATCCCAATTCCAGGATGTTCTTAGAAAGTTGAAGAGGCTTCTATCCCAAATCAAAGGTCCTAAGCTGTTACAGAACTTTAATTAATACTAAATAATATCTTGCCTATGTAAACTCTACTAATTAATAAAGCCTCATTCTGTCAACTGGGAAGCACAGTGGCTCTGTAGGATAAGTGCTGGATCGTGAACTCCAAGGTCAGCAGTTCAAGCCCACTAGCAGCTCCACAGGAGAAAGGTGAGGCTTTCTGCTTCTGCAAAGATTTACAGCCTTGGAAACCTTACACAACGTCGTTATGAGTCAAAATCAACTCAACGGCACTTAACAATATCAAAAACATTCTATCAACTTGCTATTTTGGTTCTGTGCCTAGGATGTAACTGACATTTTGTTTTAATGAGGTAAAAATATACACAACAAAACATATGCCATCTCAGTAATTTCTACATGTGCAATTTAGTAATATTGATAACATTCTTTGAGTTGTACAGCCATGATTAGTATCCTTTTCTAAATCATTCTAACACCATTAACATAAACCCAATGCCCTTACACAAAAACTCCCCATTCTCGGTCTCTCCACCCCTGATAACCACTAATCAGGTGTGATTTCCACATATATAAGAAGCACTAGTGGTACAGTGATTAGGTTCTTCATCTGGATGTTTGGAAATTCGAATCCACCAGCCACTTCATGGGAGAAAGATGTGGCCGTCTGCTTCTGTTAAGATTTCCAGCCTTAGAAACCCTACGGGACACTTTGACTCTGTCCTACAGGGCTGCTATGAGTTGGAATTGACTCAGTGGCAAGGGGCTTGGTATTTTTTGTTTCTTTCTATATACAATATTTGCTTATTTTATATAAGTGAGATCATACAATACTTGTCCTTTTATGACTTCTCTTGTTTCATATAATATTTTTTAAGAGTTGTCTGTGCTGTGCATACATCAGGATTCTATTCTGTTTATGGTTGGGTAGCATTTTATTATGTGCCTAAAACACATTTTATTAATCCATTCACCCTTTGATGGAGTAACTGGCATTTTTGGTTTCTACAGATAGATGATGCTTGTTCGTCTTTCCTGATCTCTGAATCTCAACCTCAGGTAATTCCAACTTGTAATAATGTAGGCATTTGTATAATGTTGAAATACTCATCTCTCCATTAGGACTTGTCATTACTTTATGGTTTTATTAAAAGATATCAACATATTAGAAATTATTACATTATCTGTAGGTACTGGTAATGCTATGGGTTTATTTTACAAGCTTTTATCTCTGTATAAAATAGATTCACAAATAACATATGCATATTTTGGAAATTGTTCAATGTTGATATTGTTCAACATTGTTCAATTTGAAAATTGAATTCTGTGTTAAGTTCAAAATAATGTATTGTTGTTGTTGTTAAGTGCCATCGAGTTGGTTCCGACCCATAGCGACCCTGAACAGGGTTTCCAAGGCTATAAATCTTTACAGGAGCAGAAAGTGTCATCTTTCTCCTTCGGAACAGCTGGTAGTTTCAAACTGCTGACCTTGAGGTTTGCAGCCCGATTTGTAACCACTACGCTACCAGAGCTCCTTTTGCTGTATTTCATGGCTAATATACCTTTTACCGCACTTAACAACAACAACAACATACCTTTTACCCAGTTGAGTCAGAAACCCATCAAAAGAGAGATTTATGGAGTCAGACATAGGCAGATTAAAGTATCACCATTACAACTGAATAGTCAGTTGGTGAATGTGGCTTTAGATCTAATGTCACATATCTTTGTTAAAACTACCCCCAGAACTGAACTTTCCTACAATAGTCAGACCGAGACTCTAGGCCTCCCATTTCAAGTTCTCTGGTATCTGCAAGGTTGGTGGTTCAAACACACCAGTTGCTCCTGGAACCCTCATACAGGGTCACTATTATTCGGAACCGATTTGATGGCACAATAACAACAACAATTCATCTATCACACTTCTCTTCCTATAGGAAAAAGCTCAGAAAGGGCTGGAGAAGAGAGGCTAGGATGTTAGTCTAGGTCCTCTCCTTGAAAGCAAGAGGATTGTTTCCTCCTTAAACTGCCCTTACTGGAAGATGCTGCTTCTGTCTGCGCTCTGTCTCAGAGTACAGGAAGAACAGAGTTTGTGTTAGTGCCTGCACTTTTCTACTACCAGTGTACTGTACAGAGAAGAGAACTCAGTAGAGAGGCCCCTGGCCCTACCCTGTCCACAGCAATCAGCCAGCTGTATGACTAGATGTAGCCCTTACAAGGTCTGGCTAAGATACCCTGGCCTTTCAAAGTGTCAACCAGGAGAAAAGTGTGGAGATGCAGCATTGTGTAGTCTGCTGTGTTTGCCTTGCCTTAACCCATTCCTCAATCTGCAGAGGATTACTTGAGGGAAGTTTAGAGCCATTGGATAGTAAAGAGAGACCAGAGTCAACATCAATACTATTAATGAAAAATATTTAAAATCATTCGAAGAATGTCGACATCACATAATGTGTGATGGCTATTAATAACCATACCAGCTTTGGTGTTTTATTTAAAACTCAGGAACACCCCAGAATGACTTTCATTTCTGAAGTAGTATGGTTATTAGGTGACATCGAGTTGGTTCCAACTCATAGCTACCCTATGTTCAACAAAACAAAACACTGCCCAGTCCTATACCAGCCTCGTGAGCATTGCTATCTTGTTGCAACCACAGTGTCAATCCATCTAGTTGAGGGTCTTCCTCATTTTTACTGACCCTCTACTTTACTGAGCACAGTGTCCTCCAGGAACAGGTCCCTCCTGATACTGTGTCCAAAGCACATAAGGTGAAGTTTTGCCATCTTCATCTCTAGCTGGACTTATTCCAAGATTTGTTCATTCTTCTAGCACTCATGGAATATTCAATATTGATTTATTACTTATGTGATTATCTGAACAGTGCTTTAAAAGATTTTTTTACCAAGTAGAAAGTAAAAGTAATTAAAGGTCCATAAATAAAAAAGCAAAATATTAAAGCTTTAGTATAAGAAAAAGCTTTAAACAATATTTGTAGCTCAGTGAATAAAGACTTCTTGTGAAGAGGAGCTGGAAAAAACACATTCATTTTTAAACTTCTTTTGTATGTTGCCCAAGCCTCATCTGATTAGATGCTGTGTTCTAAATCTAGACTAAGATTTCTGAATTTATTTTTCTTTGAGTTAGGATCTACATATTTGACACATGACATCACTAGATGTGTTTGTTGTATTGTTAAAGTTTACATCATTTCTAGCTGGATTGTAAAAGGTGGCTGCGGGGATTCATGCCCAGATTCTTTTAAGGTAACTTATAAAAGTATACTGTTGTGAAGTGCTGTGGAGTTGATTCCAACTCACAGTGACCCTGTATAGTGTTTCTGTGGAGAGGTTTGTGGGTTTGAACTGCTGACTTTGCGGTTATCAGTCCAATGCTTATCCGACAGTGCCATGTTGTTGCTGTTAAATACTGTTGAGTCAGTTCCGATTCACAGCGACCCCATATCGTGTTTCCAAGGTAAGTTTGAACCTCCACATTAGGCCTCCGTAGTGCCATAGTTGACCTACAAAAAATAAAATTCTCATTCCTAAAGGGGAAAAGTGAGAAAGGATGTATCAGTGTTCACACTTTACTTTTTCTTCTATCCAAATTCCAACATAGGTTAAACAGTTACTTCCAATGGAATATCTACAAATGAGAGGCTCTAGTTCCTAGGCTACACACTACAGTGTGTTGTTGACAAATGACTTCATCTCTTATTGCTTCACTTCTGCCTTCTCTACAGGAGACTAACAATTCTATGCCATATATCTCAACCCACATTGTTTGCAAGCAGTTGCAGGATAATCAAATTAGCCAATAATGAGTAATATTCATCCAGGTTTACAGCATTACTGTATTGACAAAATGGGATTATGAATATGAAAATGCTTGTGATTTATTGAAGTACTGCATATATATTGTTGTTATTGTGTGCTGTCAAGTCTGTTCTGAGTCATAGAGACCCTATATAGATTTCCAAGAATGGCTGGTGGATTTGAACTGCTGACCTTGCAGTTAACAGTCCAATACTTATCCTGTAGTGCCACACCAGTGCCATTGAGTTGGTTCTGAGTCATAGAGACCCTGTGAAGGTTTCCAAGAACGGCTGGTGGGTTTGAACGGCTGACCTTGCAGTTAACAGTCCAATACTTATCCTGTAGTGCCACACCAGGGCTCGCTGCATATATATGCACCATTTAATATTGTTCATCAATATCCCAACAACTTGCATGGCATGCAGACAAAATGGAAAAGAACAAAGTTGACCTTTGATGCTAAGATGGATGCACAGAGAAACTGTTTCATGCCTCCAGCTGTATCCCTAACCACCATCAACTCATGCTACGAGTACAGGTGTCCCCAAACAACACTTTCACTCTTGAGGTGGCATATCTTCTAAATTAAGAGTGATTACAACTGTACATTAAGCTTTGCAAGACACATAGTTTTGTTGATGCTGCTCTTGTTAACTAATTGCTAGGTACCTGGCACTATGCTAAGAATGTTGCCTACATTTAATCCTTCCAAGAACTCTCTGCAGTAATATTGTCATCCTTCATTTATGACAGAAGAAACTGAAGTCTATCGGCACAGCTAATAAATATTAGAAATGGAATTTGCACTGCAATACAAGTGCATACTGTCCCGCTCCTTAGCCCATGCGTTGGACCACTAATTACATTGCTCTTCTCATTGGGCCAAGGAGCTCTGGTAGCGTAGTGGTTACGAATCAGGCTGTGAACCGCAAGGTCAGCAGTTCGAAACTACCAGCTGCTCCGTGGGAGAAAGATGAGGCTTTCTGCTCCCATAAAGATTTACAGCCTCGGAAACCTTGTTCAGGGTCGCTATGGGTCGGAACCGACTCGACGGTACTTAATAATAATAATAATCTCACTGGGTCAGCTCCTCATTACTTCCTAAATGCATTTACTGTCTAATCAATTGTACATCGTACTGCTGTGCTGAATGCTGTGAAAAAGCAAGTTTCGCCCCTGCTTGCCCATTTATGCTACTCATCACCACACCCAGCTGGCTGCTAACCACAAGGAGCCTGGCCCAATTTCATCCTTCCAATACTTTGTAAAACCTGATTCTGGATATGCAGTCAGCAGCCTGGAAGGGTGGGACTCAGATTAGGGCTTCTTCCTCTTTCAGCCCTCATTGTTTGTAAGCAACTGCAGGATAATCAAATTAACCAATAATGAGTAACATTCAGCCAGGCTTACAGTATTGGCATGTGGGTGTAGAATTTGCTACAAACTGGAAAGCACTTCTCTTTTGGCGCAGTTCTAGTTACTCAGTCTAAGCTTTCTGAGTACTAAGGACTATGTATCTGAACTACAGTGGAATCTTTAATCAATGCATATATACAGTACGCAGCACTTTTTATTTATTTGTTAGGTTTTTCTTCTTTCAGTTGAAAGGAAGGCTTACTGTTAGCCTCAAGTTTTGTCATGAGAGAAATCAAGGGATTCCAACAGAGTTTCAATGGACCACAAGAAGGATTCGATTCTGAGTAGCTGGGATATCCTTGTGGTCCTAATGTTCCATAGCTACATCTTCTATACAAATGTTGGAAAACCAGAAGCATAACCCGTGTTTCTTCTCATTCCTATTAGCCATTCAATGCACTGGAGGAACTTTGCTCTATAATTATGGGGATTCTAGCAAAGCCTCAGGTAAGGTTAAAAAAGTTTTGTTGGTATGCAAGGAATTGCTCAGTGATTTCTTGGAATTCATCTTGAAAGAAAAGATTACCAATTTAGGAGCAAGCTGAGAGGAAACAAGAAGAGGATATGTTGACTTTAAATAAATACTACAGTATCTCTGACAACTGAGAACTTAGGGTAATATAAGTGGAGTTTCCAGTTGGGAAATCCTATGCACCCTCAATTATAAGATGTGTTCCAGTTCTGATGAGGAAATTTGGGGTCATGCTGGCTTTATTTTTCTCCCTGACTCATACTACAGTTGGAGAACAGATGCATCTTTCTAAGCTGCAAAGCATATCTGATTTGGCTCCAAGGTTAAGACGTTGTGCTTAGTTAGAAAGGACATCAAGAATGTAAGTGGAAACAGACTGTATCATCAATGTCCGTTTCAAAATTATACTCTTACTATATGGTGTCTTGGTTTCTTAGTAAAATTGATTCTTTGAAGAACGTTTTATCCTGAAATGAGGATAAGTAGGAACTTTAAAAATGTCATCATGTTCCCTACTTCATTTTATATTCTGTGTCTTATAAATGAACTTATTTTAAAACTATCCTCAGGTTTAGAGTTATATTTGTCATGAGCAATTTCTAATTTTACCTGTGATCCTTGGTGTACACTCTGACTTCCATACCTTTCATATGTAACCATTTAAAGTAACTTGGATAGTCTGAAAGCATGAATGGTTTCTGAAATTAAACAATATAAATATTTACAATGATATCTTCCAGTGTTTTTAATGATGAAACTCTCCCCCCACAAATAATGACTCTTCCCCCTAGTTAATGTAAAATGGAGGTATATTGACAATACTGTACATCCATGTTCTTGCTTTTGTATTAAAAGCACATGTGAACAAAGAAGAATAACAACTAGAAAAGGAATAATATAACTTTTTTTTTTGGAATTATATGACTTTTTTAAAGAGATTGGTTGAAGAGAGAAAGAGAAAGAAATACAGAAAAGCTAATGTTTGATGTTGTTATTTAGTGCCATTGAGTCAGTTTTGACTCATAGTGACCCTGTATAGGGTTTCCGAGGCTTTAAATTTTTTCAGGATCAGAAATCCTCATATTTCTCTTGCAGAGAGACTGGCAGGCTCAAACCGCAGACTTTGTGGCTTACAGTCCAGAACTTATTATATGGAGCCACCGCGCTCCCTAAAAGTGAATAGGAGGAAGCAAAAATAATTAATATCATTTAGTGATAACTACTGGTATTTTGGTGTGATTCCTTCTAGTCTTTTTCTCTGACTATTTCATGATGTGGTTCTGTCATTGTTTCCTATTTCATCACTGTTGAATATTCAGGATGTTTCCAATTTTATACTCTTAAGAATAATGATACAACAAAGATCTTTGTCAACATCTCTAATTATTCATAAGCAATATTTAATTAATTTATCATGTTATGTCTAACAATTTTTGTCTCATATTTTATATTATATAGATATACAGGTATCAGATATGATGTATTTTTAAGATTATATTTATCTCCTTTTAACAGGGACCAGATGAAAAAGATAATACCAAAAGGGTGAGCAGATGTTCATTAATATTCACATAAAAATCATCAAGGAAACCACTAGTCTTCTAAAGTAAAACTCACTTTTTTTTAAACAGTTCTTATTTCATTATTCAAAGACACAGAAGTTGGGCAATTCAAATGTTGTGGTAAGTTGCAAGACTACTTCTCTTGACTCATGTTTACTATTTAATCTTAGAAAACCTATTTTTGCAGCTTATCTAATAGCACTAGATCAAAACTCATGTTTTTTTGTTTGTTTTTTTTACTTTAAAGTATATATGTGGATGAGCAAATGGTATTTAAATTTTGTTATACATTAATTTATTCAGTGTCAATAATTACATGGAAATTAAATTTATTCATTCATTCAATAATTATATACTGAGTATATTTTATATGCAAGGCATAATTGAAGATACTACATATGCTTGTATATGGCTGTAAATAAAACAGAAAAATAGAAAAATGACTCCCTACTCTCACAAATTTTAGAATCTAGTAAATAAGTAAAACATATTTATGTTTCAGGTGGTGATTAATACAAGAAAGAAATAGTTTTATCCAAGGAATTTTAAGGATTATTTTAAATTACAGTTGTAAATAAATATAATTAAATATGGCTAGAATTTTTTTTCTTCTATTCCTTATGTCACCTTATCAATAATTACACATTTAGTGAGTATTTACACTCTAAGATTAGCCAGAACCCAATAACCAGTATATATTAAGTTCACTTTTAAATTATGTTTTCAGTAGTAATTTTTCTCTTTGTATATATGTATTTGAGAGTGTGGTAGCTTCTTAGGATATACACTGGCCTGGGTCAGCGGTTCGAGCTCACCATCCACTCTGTGGAAGAAAGATAGGCTTTCTGTTCCTACAAAGATTTGTTTAGTGCCTCAGAAACCCTATACAGGGTTGCTATGAGTCAGAACAAACTTGATGGCGCTGAACAACAACAATATACGTATTTTTAAAATGCTACCTAGTCAACTTTAGTGTTTCATTCTGAATACTAGTGATTAACTGATTATAGTATTCTTTTTAAGATTTAAAATTTTTTTTTTTTTAATATATATTCACATTTTGAACTGCAAGGTTGGCAGTTAATACCAGCTGTTCCTCGGAGAAAGCCATATACAGGGTCACTATGAGTTGGCACTGACTCATTGGCAACAACAACCATGGACCGATTTAGGAACTGAGGAGAATAGTATGTTTTAAACATGTGTGACCCACGAACATATAACTGTAAATTTAACTTTTTAGTTTTAAATGCTTATCACATTGAACACTATTACATTTGAGGAGTTTCCAGTTAGATTATATTGGCTTTAAACCAAAGCCAAATTGAACTAGTTAACAGAAAACCATTACACAGTATGTAAAGTAATCCACTCGGTGGTGGTGTGCCGTGGAGTTGTTTCAGACCCTGGTGACCCTGTATAGGGTTTCCGAGTCTGTAAATCCTTGTAAGAACAGAAAGCCTCATCTTTCTCCCGTGGAGCATCTGGTAGTTTTGAACTGCTGAGCTTAAGGTTAGCAATCCAACTTGTAACCACAATGCTACCAAAGCTCCTTATCCACTTGATGAGCAAATTTAATACTAATGAGAAGGCTCAATTTGTCATAACTTTAAAATGAAACCTTACCTTCTCAGGTAAGCTAGCTACATGTCTCAAATATGATTTCATTTTCTTCAGCTTGTTATCTTCACATTTTAAAAATGAAAAGTATCTTAGTCATAGTTTTCACCATTACACATTACCACATTTTGTGTCCCCTGATATCTTGTCCTGTATATGAGGGTAAGTCAAAAATTATCTGCACTTTGGCTGTAGGATTTATTTTAATCCACTTTTAGAAAAGACAAATACATCATTTTTTATATAATCTCCTTGTTTTTCAATACACTTTGTCCATCTGTCAACAAGCTTTCATATTCTCTTATTTAAAAAATGTTTTAGACTGAGTTGTGAGTCACAAATGCACCACTGCCTTTAGTTCTTCATCAGAGATGAATCTTCATGCTCAAATGGCTGCTTTCAGGAGACCAAACAGGTGAAAGTCCAATGGAGCAAGATCACGACTATAGGAAGGATGCTTTAACACCTCAAAATGAAGTTTTTGCAGAGTGTCAATAGTGTGGTCAGAGGTGTGCTGACATATATTGTCATGCAAGATCACAACACCCTTGGATAGTCCTCTGCCTTTAATCTGAAGTTCAGGCTTCAGCTCTTCAATGAGCGTCTCCCTGTAAGGAGCAGTATTGATTATTGAACCTTTTTCCTGATAGTGTTCCAGTACTGGTCCTTAAGAATCCCAGAAAACTGTAAGCATCAATTTTCCAGCTAATAGTTGACTTTTGAACTTTTTTTTGGTGGGCGATTAAGGGTGTTTCCATTCTATATTTTGCCATTTACACTCAGGGTCATAGTAATGAATCTATATCGCATCACCAATAACTTTTTATTTTTTAAGAAACTTTTACCTTCCTTTAAATATTGGTCCAAATTTTGTTTACAGATGTTCACATTCATACCTGCGCAGCAATGACCTTGAATGGAAACCACTGTTAAAACAGTGAAGCCAAGAGAAGTTTTTAAATAATCGGAGTGTGGCTAATTTTTTACTTACTCTCATATTTCAATTTTAAACATAACTTATAATGTACAAAGAAATTTACTAAATGTATGTAGAGTATACTATTCAAGATCAATGGTTTCATAATAGAAGGCCAATTTCCATATTGGCCCTGAATAATTTTAAGTCCAGGAGCAGCCTGCATATGGTATTTCAAAGATACCATGAGGTGATTTACTCACTGGTAGTTGATGATGAATCTGAGGCTCCCAAGAACATATTTATTCAACATAAAGATAAAGATCCTAGCATAGAGAGAATTTTACTCTCTACCTTGGACTTATTCTCCAGGGTTCTTTGAAGTGTTCACAAAGGGTTGTTTGTCTTAGATAATATCTTTCTTCTTGTGTGTGGAACAAATAGAGTGGTAAAAACAAAGTCAAACAAGTAAGAAACCTGTCTTGATGCCCAATGATGAGAAACCATTGGGCTCTTCATGTGTGTGTGTTCATATTCTCTCAGTCGTCTGTCGTGCATCCATTGCTGCAGCTCATTCCTCAACTGCATGAGAGAAGAATGAAGAGATTCAAGGTAGACATATATAATATAAACTGCATGCTTGCTTTGCCACTCTGTGTGGGACAGCCCTCTCCGTTCGTTTCCAGTTGTGGTGGTTTACTAAGTACACTTCTATAGGATAAACCCAAACCCAAGCCCACTGAAGTTGAGATGATTCCATTCATGTTGTTGTTGTTAAGCGCTCTTGAATTGGTTCTGACTCATAACAACCCTATAACTCTTTACAGGAGCAGAAAGCCTCATCTTTTTATCATGGAGCACCTGGTAGACTCAAATTGCCAACCTTGCAGTTAGCAGTCCAATGCATAACCCACTAAACCATCAGGATTTTTTCTGCCCACTTGTTGTTAAAAGCCATTGAGTCAGTTCCCATTCATAGCAACCCTGTATAGGGTTTCTGAGGAGCAGCTGGTGAATTTGAACTGATGACTTTATTGTTGTTGTTGTTGTTAAGTGCCGTTAAGTCATTCTGTCCCATAGCAACCCTGTATAGGGTTTCTGAGGAGCAGCTGGTGAATTTGAACTGATGACTTTATTGTTGTTGTTGTTGTTAAGTGCCGTTAAGTCATTCTGTCCCATAGCAACCCTGTATAGGGTTTCTGAGGAGCAGCTGGTGAATTTGAACTGATGACTTTATTGTTGTTGTTGTTGTTAAGTGCCGTTAAGTCATTCTGTCCCATAGCAACCCTGTATAGGGTTTCTGAGGAGCAGCTGGTGAATTTGAACTGATGACTTTATTGTTGTTGTTGTTGTTAAGTGCCGTTAAGTCATTCTGTCCCATAGCAACCCTGTATAGGGTTTCTGAGGAGCAGCTGGTGAATTTGAACTGATGACTTTATTGTTGTTGTTGTTGTTAAGTGCCGTTAAGTCATTCTGTCCCATAGCAACCCTGTATAGGGTTTCTGAGGAGCAGCTGGTGAATTTGAACTGATGACTTTATTGTTGTTGTTGTTGTTAAGTGCCGTTAAGTCATTCTGTCCCATAGCAACCCTGTATAGGGTTTCTGAGGAGCAGCTGGTGAATTTGAACTGATGACTTTATTGTTGTTGTTGTTGTTAAGTGCCGTTAAGTCATTCTGTCCCATAGCAACCCTGTATAGGGTTTCTGAGGAGCAGCTGGTGAATTTGAACTGATGACTTTATTGTTGTTGTTGTTGTTAAGTGCCGTTAAGTCATTCTGTCCCATAGCAACCCTGTATAGGGTTTCTGAGGAGCAGCTGGTGAATTTGAACTGATGACTTTATTGTTGTTGTTGTTGTTAAGTGCCGTTAAGTCATTCTGTCCCATAGCAACCCTGTATAGGGTTTCTGAGGAGCAGCTGGTGAATTTGAACTGATGACTTTATTGTTGTTGTTGTTGTTAAGTGCCGTTAAGTCATTCTGTCCCATAGCAACCCTGTATAGGGTTTCTGAGGAGCAGCTGGTGAATTTGAACTGATGACTTTATTGTTGTTGTTGTTGTTAAGTGCCGTTAAGTCATTCTGTCCCATAGCAACCCTGTATAGGGTTTCTGAGGAGCAGCTGGTGAATTTGAACTGATGACTTTATTGTTGTTGTTGTTGTTAAGTGCCGTTAAGTCATTCTGTCCCATAGCAACCCTGTATAGGGTTTCTGAGGAGCAGCTGGTGAATTTGAACTGATGACTTTATTGTTGTTGTTGTTGTTAAGTGCCGTTAAGTCATTCTGTCCCATAGCAACCCTGTATAGGGTTTCTGAGGAGCAGCTGGTGAATTTGAACTGATGACTTTATTGTTGTTGTTGTTGTTAAGTGCCGTTAAGTCATTCTGTCCCATAGCAACCCTGTATAGGGTTTCTGAGGAGCAGCTGGTGAATTTGAACTGATGACTTT